ATGCTGGCATGCTGGTCACCAATATTTGACACTTCAACTTTCAACGGTACTGCGCTGATCACCGGTGATCGGCGCCGCGGCGCTGATTGGCGCTAACAAACTTTAAAAATGTATAAAACTCGTACGTACTGTGCATAATAAGTTTGTATAATTCAATTATATTTATAATATTTTCGAAATATTTATCTAAAAGTGAAAATTCTCTCTCTATTCCGGCGTTGTCAGAGAAATAAACGAATAAATTCGACATTCAACATGCTAATCAAAGTTTTGCATAAAAGTTTTCTATGCGTTAGAATGAAAGAGTATATTTTGATTTTATTAGAAAGACTTATATTATTAACTTATAGAAAACTTTTATAGGTTATTATGAAAAGAATATTTAAAGATTAAAACAAGTAAAAATTAATTGAAGTACTTACGTTAGTGAAGCATTTCACTACTTTAAAAGGATTTTGTGTACATTTTAAGAAATCTCCACAGGTTGTTAATAAATTCATTTGCAGATCATTTATTGCACCGATCACGTTATCAACGTCTGCACTATGCGAACCTGTTACGTTCAAAACGCAGGTATCAAAACTCTGTATCAATTTCTCGACACCTTTTTGTCCTTCCTCGAACACGTTAACGCATGCCTTAGAAGGCCCAAAAGCCCGTTTTGGGGATTTTTCAAGTCCATTTTTTATCTGATAATATAAATTTTTAAAAATTAGCAATACATTTAACTTTGAAGTATAACCATCAAAATTTTTTTAATAAAATTTAATTTTCTTAGAACATAATGTGAATCAATCGTATTGGAGAATTTTAGAGTAAATAAATCAAAATATATTGCTTAGAATTTTATTTATAAGACCAATGATTAAATAGATTTAATACTTTGTGTGAAAAAAATTTACTTTCATGTTAATTTTATTACAAAATCGTGTAATATTATATAATAATTATAGACACATAATTATTTCTTTGTATTTCTACTGTTGTTTTATGAATATGATTTGTTTGTAATATCTAAATTTATTAACTTTGATACACGAATAAATTTTTTCGTATTATTTTTGCCCTTTTTAATGCATAATCGATCAATTATTTGAAATTAATATGATTTATTATAAACATTGTTGAATAAAAAACGAGCATATTATTACAAATGTAATTTGACAAAATATTTGTTGTATAAAATATAATATTTTTGCTTCGCGATATAAATTGAAATAAAACTGTTTATTTTTAAATATAAAATGATATAGTATGCGGTCTACTTGACGCTACAAATTATTCGAAACATTTGATTGACTAATCAGAAGAAAGAATGTTACTAATTGACCAATCAAAGAATCCTTCAAAGCATTTTTCGATTTGTAGCATCAAGTGACCACAGCCATAAAAACGTAACTTGTTTATACGATTATATATATATATATAGGTATATATATATATATATATATATATGTTAAAAATGTGTTTAAAAAATTTAAATTAAATCTTACGCCTTCCATCATTTCCTTTCCATGATTTTGAAGTTTATCTCCCATTTCTTTCATGTTTTCAAGCGCACCAGACATTCCGTTTTGAGCATTACCCAATAAAGAACCTAGATCCTGTTTCTCAAAAAGTCTAGCTTCTGCTGTTTGAAAAACCTAGAATTAAATAAACCGACACATAAAATATGTAATATATGCAATATTATTTCAAATAATGGAGAGACAAAAGAACACTTTCACTTGCAATATCATTTTGTACATAAATTATAAAATAAATATTATTAAATAAAATTTTCACAAACTTTTACAAATTTTAAACGTTAAATTTTTATCCAAACAACTATTTTAGATTTAAGAATCGAGAAACTTACGCAAACAGCTGCGATGATGCAACTTATGATGGTAATTTTCGTCATTGTTGTTGTCCTAACTTTGGCGTATTACTTCTTGAGACTTCGAGAATAATACTTCTCTTTTTAAACTAAAACCCGCGTTTATATAAGATATTCGCCTCCAACTTTTAGAAGGTATCGTTGCGATATGCAAATTAACTTGTCAAACTGCGAGTACTTACATCAATATGCAATTACTCTAATTAACCAAGATAAAAAATAGTAGTAACAAACAAAATACATTACTCAAAAGAGAACTTTATAATTTATTTTTATGATATATTACTACACAGATACATGTTTCATCTAATATGCTTATAATAATAATTTAGATACCTCGCATATATGGTATGAATATTCTCTAAATCTGAATCAGTGAGTAGTCACTGATTATCAATGGTTATTCATTGAATGAATCAGTTTTAAGTATGAAATTCAACTTCATTGACTTTCGAATATCACTAATATATAAGTGAATAATCGTATCATTCACAATCATTCTATAATCATTCACAAATCAGTGGACTTCGCTGTTCTTGCTAATTGCACAGCGGCTCTGTTTCACTTATTTATTAGCAATGCAACATTTGTAGCGTTAAGTTAGATTATGTTATAGTTACTGACTCAATCAGTGATTGTCAGAGATTTTTTACTAATTCAGATTTAGAGAGTACGTAACTATATTAAAACAGTTCATTTTGCTGTGTAATAATGGGATACATGAATTTTTGAAAATTTTGGACTGCAGCTTCTTACAAAAAATATATGATTAATAATATTTAATCAAATAAGTGCTATTTCCATTTTTTTGTTATTTGCTTTACAAATATTGTAGGCTATAAAATTGCTAACTTGTTGTTAGTATAATTTTGCTAATGTTGCGAAAGTTAACTGGAAATGAAACTTACATATTAAAAAAAAATTCTTTTAACTGTTAGATTAGAATTGAAAAAACTTTCTATATTATATAACACATTCAGAGTGTATGTATAATGTGTATAAGATATCCAAAGATTTGTATACTACCCTAGATCGCTAACTTACGTAGTGAGGGTGAGACAAATTGAAGTCTGGATAGGATATGCCGCCATTTGTGGAAAAATCACAGTGCATTCTTTTATGACATATAAAATAAATATATGAAACATAATTATCTTTAAATTTGTCACATAATTTGACTGTTACGTAATAAAAAGTTATTAATAAAAATAAAATTAGATAGAATAATTAAAATACATTTTCAAATATATAGATTATAGAATATCAATAGAAATCTGATGCTACACTTACGTGAAAAAACATGATTCTGATTGTCGAATATTGTTATAATATTTTACACAGCAATTTTGTGGCATTTTAAAAATTCTTTAATATATTTTTAACAAATATGTCTTTAATATATCTTTCTTTACACTGTTAAACCCGTTTCTTAAAATACACAATATAACACTAATGACTTATGACATTGACATGTGACAATATGATACGATGTAAATATATGAAACCTAAGTGTTGAGTAAGGAAGTGTCGGTCATTTGCAATGCGGATAATATTAATTGGTTACTTCATCCTCCACTACCTAAATTAGCGAAATTAGTGTAGTATAGAAATCTGTGAATATATCTGCGTATTTATTATATTACTATGTGTGTGTGTGTGTGTGTGTGTGTGTGTATGCGTGCGCGTGCGTGTGCGTGTGTGTGTGTGTGTGTGTGTGTATAAAAGTATATATGATACTATTATTGTAATATAGTTAAAACAAAGTTATACCTATTACTCAATAATTGATTTATAATTTAAATGGTCGCAAAATACTTATGCTTTGGACACATTGTTCCAAGTTTTGCACGAATTTGTCAAGATTCTGAACGGCTTCGTCAAATGTCGAATCAAAGCACGCTTTCACATTGGGGAACAATTCGATAAGCGAAAATATCAAGGGCACTATTTTTTTAATTTGAAGATTTAGTTTAGAAATGTCGTTCAAAACCTGAAAAAAGTTAAAGTTCTCTTAAAAAATTTTTTAAAAATTATTTGTATTGTGACAGAGGAGGGACGCTGCTCCGCGGTAGCGGAACGACCATGTCACAACTCCCCCACGCCATGCCGTTTCGCTGCCGCGGGGCAACTCTCCCGTCACGGTGTATTATAATTGATAATTTAACACATTGAATGCCATGCTGGTTACCAATTCCGGCACTTGAACTTTCAACGGTGCTGCGCTGATTACTGGTGACTGGTCACCGTGGCGCCGATCGGCGCTAACAAACTTCAAAAATAAAATTCTTAGAATTACAAAATAACATTTGTAATTCTAAATATGATTACATTAAAGCAATAGTTTAAAATAATAAACGTATTATACATAAATTCAATTATATTTATAATATTTTATCAAAATATTTGTTTAAAAGTGAAAATTCTACGCCTGTCAGAGAACAAACGAATAAGTTCGACATACATTCAATGTTTTATGACATTAATATTCTTTCACACATAAATATTCTGTTTTAACCTTTACAATTATAAATCTCTAATAATTTGTTTATAGAAATATTAGTATTACATACTAATATATGTATTTTTTCATTACGTTTTTTGATATATTAAAGATATGTTCACCAACTTTGGATATAATTTAGTTATCGTATCGTTGTAAAGTACGAATCTATAGAAACCAATTCTATAGAAATTCTGAGCAGCTTCGACGAACTGCTTTGATCGGGTTAGACCCGCCGCGTAACATCTCGAGTTCGCGATAATAACGGGAGTACGATTTAACTTGGTTAAAGTGCAATTACTCAGCGGTTAACCCGAACTACTCCCTCATCTCTGTTTACTGTGTACTCAAGAAATCAGTAGCTGAGTTTAGTCACCATGCTCAGAAATCGTGCGCGACGGTTTGTGCATGCATTAATTAATTGACTTCCCGACTACGAGGCATTTCCACCGAAATTATAAGACCATGGTAACGACGAATACTGGCTATGAGAAAGCATTTAACAGAAATATGATCTAAATTCTTGCAATTTAATTTATATTACTATAAGTAAAAGTTAATATGCAAATAATACAAATAAATGAAAAGCGCTTTATTCGGTCAGAGCTGAATCTTAGTGCTTAATAATATTTTCAAGGTAAATTTATATCCGTTATATTTTAAATCTAAGAGTCTTATACATTATTGAGTTAAATTTATATCCATTTTCCAATTCTTCAAATTGCGCCAAACACAATCGATAATTATTTAGTTAGATTATCAATTTATTTTGTAATATTATTATGTCAGATTTACAAGATCGACTGTGTTTAGCAGTTTGAAGAACTGGAAAATGTACATAAATTTACATAGAAAATATTATTAAAGTTCTGTTCTTACCGAAAAAGACGTTTTCATTTATTTGTATTAATTTATGTTAATTATATATAATATTTATTAATTTACACAAATATATAATAATTTCTATAGAGTTTCTATATAATTACATAGAATATTTTAATTAATTTATATATTATTTTATATAATGCAGTTTTAATTTATGTTAATTATATATTTTTGGCGCAAAATTAAATTGTAGATAAGTAATTAAATTTTTATCCGGCATTTGCTAAATGGTTATAAATTTGCATGATTATAACTGTAATTACAGAGACTTTTTCAGAATTTATTACTTTGTATCTCGGTCATTAAATTTTATTTATCTAGTAAAATGATTAAAAATATAATTATTTTCAAAAAAACAATAGAGAATATATAATATTTATAAATACTAGTACTACAGACGCGCGCTATTTAACTGCACTTTTACTTTTTACTATAATTGACTATAATTATACATCAATCTCAATACATACAACTGTCAAAAGTCAATGTAATGACAGCCACTCACGAAGTTATAGCGCAGCGAGAGAACCAATCAGCGTCGCGGAAAAGAGTCAACAATAACTTCGAGAACAACGATACATTTCGAGTTCGAACATGCCTTTTTTTAGATAGAGAAAAGAAACATATCAAAGCGCGTGTATCGCGCACACTATTTATTCACTATCCCTGAAACGTAACACAAAAACACATACACACGCACGCACGCACGCACGCACGTACACACAAATACAAATATCATATTAAATATCTCATTATTTTATATATCTCTTATATACATCTCATGTCCTATCTAAAAAAAGGCAATTAAGTCAATAATTCCCATTTCTCGTCTTACTTTTTTCTTTCAGGTATCAGTTTTTGTTTAACAAAATATTATAATATTGTTAACAATATTTTTTGTAATCAAGAGATATGTCGAAACATGTTTTTACAATGATTAAGAGAAAAAGGAATTAAAGGAATGAAATAGTGATAGAAGAAAAGAAAGAAAAGTAACAGAAACGAAGAGAATTAAATTCATTGGTCTTTTATAAAATATTACATACATATCGCTTTACCTTCGTGTGTTACATACGTAATTGTCAGATGCTGTATCTAATTATTTGCTATGATAATTAGACACAGTATCTGACAATTATGTATGTAACACACGAAGGTAAAATGACACGTATGTAATACTTTACAAAAGATTGAAGAGGACTTGATGTAAAGCCGAAACGATCTTCTGATAGCATTGAGTGAACGTTATTTAGTTTCGAATAATCTGTGATAATTTTTTCTCAATTCATTTAAAACCGACTTTTTCCAGTATTCGAAATTTGTTTGGAGAGGCAATCGCAACGTGGCCAATTGCAATGCGTGGGTAATCGCAACGCATGGACAATCGCAAACGCGTGGGCAAAAGCAACTCGTGGGCAATCGCAACGTGTGGCTAAAAGCAACGCTTAAACAAAAGTAACGCGTAGGCAGAAAAAAGCAAGTTAAATCAACTCGAAATGTATCGTTGTTCTCGAAGTTATTGATAACTTTTTTCCGTGACACTGATTGGTTCTCCCGCTGCGCTAACTTCGTGAGCGGCTGTCAGTGCATTAATTTTTGACAGTTGTATGTATTGAGGTTGATGTATAATTACTACAGAAATCTGATGCTACACTTACGTGAAAAAATGTAAAACTGATTCTGATCGCCGAATATTATTACAATATTTTACACGACAATTTTATGGCATTTTAAAAACTCTATATATTTTTAACAAATATGTCTTTAATATATCTTTTTTACACTATTAAATCTGTTTCTTAAAATACACAATATAACACTAATTACTTATAACATGTGACATTGACATGTGACAATAATATGACACGATGTAAATATATGAAACATATGAGTGTTGCGCGGAAGTGTCGGCCAATGCGGATAATACTAATTGATTACTTCGCCCCTACTACCTAAGTTAGCGATCTAGTATAGTATAGAAATCTGTGCTGTCATGTCTCTTGATATTAAGTAATACGAAAATGTATTTTACATATATTGTACTAAATATAATATATATTTACGCATACCTTTTTCCATAGAATAAATAGTAAAATTATATAATTTCTTAAAATCAATCTCTATCAATATAATGAATAAATAATCAAGTCTAAGAAAATCTTGCGCATAAGGATTAAATTATGTATTTTGACTTTTCAATATTTGTGTACGACGCGACGTTTTGAATGTATTAACTTCTTTATTCAGAGATAACAAAAGTGAAACCAGGTCAAGCGTGCAAAGCACAAAGACAGCCATTTCAAAATCAGCACTGCATCGTTGGCACTTCAACGCTCGCGGAAGTTGGAGCTTCAGAAAGTTGGTATGTACTAGGTGTATGTACGATGTGCCGGGTGTACGGAATGCGCTCATCTTTATTAATACGAGGGTGGACCGGCGAGAGAGTTTTAAGTTGGCCTACCCGGAGTAGCTCAGCCAATATTTACGTTTCATTTTGTTGAAGCTCCGCGTCCACAGCCGTTCTCATTCGAGGTTTGATGAAAATGCGTGGCAACGTTACAACATCACGGATGGTCATTCCTCGTATGGTTCTGCCTTGTTTGATCAGCATCATTCTCTAAATTTGCACTTTGCGTTTGCCGGATTAAATCTTACTCTGTTTAATTATTTACAATTTTGCGTTATCGTCGCAACAGATCTGTAATATCACTCTATTGTCTGCTTGCCGTGATGTACATATGTTAGAGACTTAATAATAAATGTAAGCGGTTGCGAAGAAATTTCATCCTTACTCTCTGGTAATAATGTATACATCCCTTGTCTGGGAGAGCAATTAGTATAAGACAGATTTAATAACATGACCCTTAAAATTTCCCTTGATTATCGCAGACTCTAATTTACGCTTTGTATATACTCCTAAAATTTAAGGTATACATTTCGGGGTTATACACAATTTCTGTATTCGTTATAACTTTATAAGCATTTGATACAAAATGTTTAACATTATTATATATAATAGAGACATTAAAATCTTTCTTATATTTATACAATTTTACAATCAAAATTGATTACAATTTGTACTTTAATAAGTAAATGACATTGTCAATATTAAGATTACCTTTCATTTGAAGGAGCATATAAATCTCGCATTAATAAAAATTTATAAATAAATTTTATGTATTTTTATTAATAGAATTTATTTAATAATATATAACTTTTAATAATACATATTAACAATATGTACATTATTAATGCAAGTAGCAATAAGTGACAATGGAAAATATAATTCCTAAAGTATAATATAGTTTAACATAAAATCTGAGTTTGAATCCGATTTATTGTATGTCAGAGCAGATGTTGCAATTAATATTCAAGAAATATATTTCCTGTTGCTGTGCTCTTTAACAACGAATATTGCTCGACGTATCAGCACGCGCACCGTTAGTCCGAGGCGCGTCCAAGACGGAGTTTTCCAATTAGTGCGTTTATATTAAATTACCCGACGGGCGCGCAGATAATGGCCTGCCCCGTAATGAGATTGTCCCGTCGAATGCTCGCTGGTTATATCTCGCAGCAGATAAGGCCACAGTCCCTAACAACGAGACGGTTTGACGGGTTAGAGCCTGTAGAGAAGACGCTCGGTATTCGAACGATCTCGTTTCGGAATAACCGGGAGCGACAGCCGACGAAGTTATTGGAAATTTAAGAAGAGATATTCTCCTCGATCTTACTCAATATTGGATTAAATTCCTTTTTCCACTAACAAATGAGAACGATCCAATTATAATATATGCCAAGTGCATAATTTAAAAGGATAATCAAATGATAGAACATATAATAGAAAATTTGATTTTTCGACTAGTTTGAAATCGATCCGCTTGATTGAAAAGATCCTGATGTAATTGCCGCGAGAAAACCTACAAATACTCCTTCGGATATATCGGTAGTACAGAAAAAGTAATATAATAAATCTCTAGATATCTGTTATGGATTTAGCAGTCGTTATACCGCCCGGGGACATCCTCCCCGCTCCGTAAGGGAGATCGAATTGGCACATTTTGATTTATCAATTTTGAACACCCTTCAGTTTCACCCTTCGGCTAAACTTGCTCATTCTTTGCGAGCGAAAGAAATCCCGTCTGACACATCCAATTTTTTCTTAGTTTGCAACGTTTCTCTTTATTATAAAAATAATTATTATACACCGACAGCTATATCGATAGCATCTTATCGTACATCGGTACTATTATATATATATATATATATATATATATATATATATATATTAACAATAATAATTTAAATTATTAAAAATAACTTATTATTAAGAACATCTTTTTTGCTTTTTTTTCTTTGTGTGCAGTATATTCATTGATTTTATATTATATTTTACATAAATTATGTTGAACAAAGTGTTAGTGTTATACCTACATTTATAATTACATCACATTACATCAATTTTATTAAAAATCTGATAAAGTTTTCTCAAGTTTATAAATTTATTTAATAATATTGGAAGTTTTGCTTAAAATCTACATCTATTTCATTCATATTCAAGGAATAAATAATCCCGTCCATTTATAAAATTTCCTGGAAATGATAAAGTACAAGTATTCGGCAGAAAAAATACGTTTTAAGCAGGACGACCGCTCAAAAAGCAGTGTAATTGATATACGAGAGCAGAGATCGTTGCCGGCGCAAGACCAGAATTATAAAGTTTACCTCGACCGAGGTGGTCAGCCGGTGAGGCTCCGATAACCAAGAATCTCGAGCGGTCTGAATTCGTAATTCCGTAACACCGTAACCGCTTGTATTTAGGAAGCGGCGTGAGCAGAACCGAGATAAATTATGAGCGGCGACCGCTGGAGGTACGATTTACGATGACCGAGTTGTTTGGCGAATGCGTAATGCGTTCGCTTGGTGATTCAATGCGCACCCACCGGCCCGTTTGTGCATTAACGTGTGCGGCTACCGGTGCCGACGACGCCAATGATTTTCGTTCTCAGCGTGGCACGGTCGTCAAATTGTAAATCTCCCTTCGACGTTCCAATTTGGTAGGCTTCCGTTTCATAAAACGTCAAACGGAAAATGCAAACGACGCACAAAAACGACAAGCGTAATGTCCGAATTATTCTCTCGCAAATGCTGTCATTAGATTTTGCGTGAGATTATTGAATCTGACTATCGACGAGTCAAAAATTAATTTACCAACTCAACTGCGCAATGCTTTGCGTCGAAAGAAAAATCTGATATTTTTTTACTGTACTTGCCATCTTATATTTCGATTCAAGTCAATTTTTAATCAAATTTTAATAAAATGTCTTTTTGAGGAGAATACAAAAGATGTTCAATTTCAAATATAAAAATTTAATTAATTGTGTTTTAAAGATATAAATAATAATATCGTATTTTCCATATTTAATATTTTGGTTTCCATTATTTGATTCATTGTAAAGATTGAATTTAGAAATATCCAAACAATATAATAAAATATAATATTTCTATAATGTAAAATCAATAATGCCTTATTAAAAACAATTTTTTGATACCAGAGCGAAATGTGATGAATAAAATAAATGTTATACTATCAATACCATTAAAAATCTTACGAGTGAGATGTTATACGAATAAATATTATTACTTGACAGTAGAAGGTGTTGAATTACTATTTTGCGCGGCAGAGACGGGAGATAGTATATAAGAGAAAATATTGCTATTGGTTACAGCTGAAATAGAGCTTTTATTATTGGTCGTGCACCAGTAAAGAAGCTCCAGATATTTCACGTTACTGCCTATGAAAACCTAATCCACGACGATAAAGCGCCGTCGCAATATGTTACTGTCGCAGAGTCCGAGCCTCGATACCTATATTACAGTTGTATTTCTCGCCTCATGACAGTGAACGAGTGATACAAATGGAAACGTTGGAAACTAATTTCTAGACCGTGCAATTTCGCGCAATTCCATAATTTTACTGCATATATACCTGTATTAATGACTCTCGACTATTTTTACTATACATTGCTGCACAGTAAATACATATATAATAGTTGACTATTTTATATTTATTTTTTATATATTTCGATTGACGTAGTTATTTATTATACGAATGATATCCCATTATTCAATACGTTTATACATCAATAACGGATTCGAAAATTAATAAAATGAACAACAAATTTATTCCTGCTTATCGATTATGTTACAGACCGCTATGCATTTTTAAAGTATGAGATAAATACAGGATCAAAATTTGAACAGTCCGAGGTAAAATTAAGCAAATAAGTAATTCGCTAATATTAAAAGCTAATATATAAAAAAATTTAATAAAAATATAGGAAATGAAATATATTCCATTTCTTTTCCCACTTATGTTAGATTGTAATATTGGCTATACTATAAACAAACTTTAGTTAATGTAACGTCTCTACTGCTTTCAATTTGGGTTAATAATAGAAATAAAAGATATCACGTCAAGCGATAACATCACACTGCACGTTCGACAACGAGTCGTTTGAGGCGGGTGTACAAACGGCGAGAAGCGAGTCTTCGTGATCATCGGCGAGTGTATTGTGTAAGTGGTGAAGACGCTAGTACGGAAGGAACAAGCAAGGAAAGGCATTGTGGACCGCGATTTATTTCCCCCTTTGTCTCTAACCAGCTCCCGAGGGACTGCACCGAGCGATACCGGAGAATGAGAGGATTGTTTGTGCCGTTGGCTCAAGGTGGTCGACTTCTTCAGATCTTACGTACTATTCCTATACATGTATATGTGCACGATCCGATGCGGTGTATCGGCAGGGTGGAGTCGCCCTTTCGTCGAAAGTAATAGTGGATATGTTTAGGCCAGGAACTTTCTCTCTCTCTCTCTCTCTCTCCCCCGATATCGGATCTACATACGTACGACGCGACGTGGCTCGCGCATGTCACTTCCGTCGGTGAAGAAACCCATGCGACGGGATTACCTCGCAGACAGAGTCGAGGAATGTCTCACCGCACGACGAGAAACGACGCCGGTCGATTTCGTCTCGAGGTCGGAACTCGCGACGAAATCTGTGAAGTCGGCGTTTCCCTTCGGGTGCAATTGAATGCAAATGCATGAGCATGTTCGAGATTACACTTGATTCGTCTCTGTAGGACAAGTAACGTGTTCATTCTGCACGGGGAGTACGCAAGAAAACGTCTCAGTCGTATAATCCAAACGTTAATTTCGCCGGCATATTAAATAACAACACCTACTTTTATATTCAACATATTTTATCATACATGTTCAGAGATTGTAACAATGTCTCTTATGGCTTTTAAAATGAAATTTTTAAGAAACTTTGTTTTCGGCTCTTTCGCTGAATTCGAATATTCATATTGTGCAGAATCTGCACAATCATATTGTGCAGATTCACGACCCAGCTCATGTTTACGCGCCAATAATATCGCTCTGTTTCATTGCAGCGTGGCAATTACAGAACTTACGCACCATCCTAATATATTGCGGGGTACGACTTAAGAATTCGAGGCGTCGCGTGCGCCGTATACCCGACACAACCCGTTCGAGGCAAAACTATCTACGCGGTCCACGGCGTAACTCCCCGGGCCTGAGCCTCTCTCTCACCGAAACTTTCTCAAGACTGGTAAACTACCCGAAGATAAACGAGCACCGCGTAAACTACAAGGGGAGACGCTTCGGGTATGCACGTACGATGAGACGCGGCGGGTGTTCAGAATTATCGTTAGACAGTAAAAAAGAGAGAGAGAGAGAGAGAGAGAGAGAGAGAGAGAGAGAGAGAGAGAAGAAGCGAGAAAAGACGT